CCAACCCCTTTCCCTTTGAGGTTTGTCAGTCTAGCAATGAATTTGTGCTTCTTAATCCCTTCACCTTTTTCATCCATTCCCCCAACCCCTTTCCCAACTGGCAACCAACAAAATGTTCTCTGTATCTATGAGAATGTTCCTGTTCTTCCTGTTCATTTTGTTTGTAGATTCCATTGTTGATAGATATGTACTCATTGCCATTTTGTTTGTTCATACATTTTATCTTTTTCTTTAAAAAGACCCTTCATCATTTCATATAATAACGGTTTGGTAGTGATGAACTCCTTTAACTTTTTCTTGTCTGGGAAAGTTTTTATATGTCCATCGATTCTAAATGACAGCTTTGCAGGATAGAGTAATTTTGGTTGTAGGTTCTTGGTTTTCATCACTCTGAATATTTCTTGCCACTCCCTTCTGGCCTGCAAAGTTTCTTTTGAGAAATCAGCTGACAGCCTAATGGGAACTCCCTTGTAGGTAACTAGCTGCCTTTCTCTTGCTGCTTTTAGGATTCTCTCTTTGTCTTGAACCTTTTGCATTTTGATGATGATGTGTCTTGGTGTGGGCCTCTTGGGGTTCATCTTGTTTGGGACTCTCTGTGCTTCCTGGACTTGTATGTCTGTTTCCTTCACCAAGTTAGGAAAGTTTTCTGCCATTATTGTTTCAAACAGGTTTTCGATTTCTTGTTCTCTCTCTTCTCCTTCCGGCACCCCCAAGATGCGAATGTTGGCACGCTTGAAGTTGTCCCAGAGGCTCCTTACACTATCCTCATTTTTTTGGATTCTTTTTTCTTTTTGCTGTTCTGGTTGGGCGTTTTTTGCTTCCTTATATTCCAAATCAATGGTTTGCTCCTTGGATTTACGTACTCTATTATTGAAGCTATATAAATTATTCTTTATTTCAGTTAAAGCCTCCTTCGTTTCTAACTGTGCAGCGATCATTTCTGACTGGTACTTTTTTATGCTCTTGAGGCCCTCACTGAGTTCATTGAGCATCCTTATAAGCAGTATTTTGAACTCAGCATCTGTTAGGTTGCTTATCTCCATTTCGCTTAGTTCTTTTCTTGGGGTTTTGTTCTGTTCTTTCATTTGGGACCTGTTTCTTTGTATCCTCATTTTGGCTGCCTCCCTGTGTTTGTTTCTGTGTATTACTTAATGAGAGGTATGGGGCTCGCTGAGACCCGATGCTGCTCGTTTGAAAGAATTTAGGAAAAACCTGAAGCAGGATCCAAGACAGGCCAATCCTATGGTTAAGCAAGTAGCTACAGCTTGGGTGGGCTTGAAAGTTGTGTGGGGCGGGGCCTCAGGGAGTCAGTAGGGCGGGGCTACCAGTGTGAGCCAGGTTGCTGGAGTCCCAGATATGGCGACTGTCTGCCGCCCCAGGGAAGGGCTCACCAAAGGAACAAAGGCCTCTTACAGCACGATTGTCCCGGAGAAAGCCCCCTCTCCAGCCCTCGCTCCAGTGCCAAACAGCTCAGTTCTTCCCTGTATTTCTCTGGTGCCCCTCGAGCTGCCTCCCCTCTGAGCTTAGAGGGAGAGAGTCTGACCAGTCCGTGCGCGGGCCCTTTAAGGAGCTGCCTGGGGCTCCAGCCAGGTCAGCTTCCCTGAGCCTCAGTTTCTGCTGGTTTTCCAGCCAGAAGTTATGGGGATTCTCTTCCTGGCACTGGAACCCTGAGCGGGGCACCTGGTGTGGGACGGGGACTCCTCAGTCCTCAGGAAGGACCTTCCCAGCCGCGGGAGCCTCCTGATTTTTATCCGCCACACTTGGGTGTGGGACCAGCCCGTCGCGCCGCCGCGCGGCTGCCGCCACCCCTCACGCCGCCGCCCCTCCTACCGGTCTGGATGTAGCTGCTTTTTTTTTTTAATTCCGTAGTTGTAGGACTTCCATTCAGCTTGATTTCAGGCGGTTTTGGATGATGGTTGTTCTGTAGTTTTGTTGTAACTTGGATGTGGTTGTGGGAGAACGCGATACTGCGTTTCCCTACGCCGCCATCTTGACCGGAAGTCTCCCTAAACTTACTCTTAATAATATCAGAGGCTGAGGAGGATTAAACCAAACAAACTCAGTTATGTAAAATCATCACTTATTCATCAATTGCCCACATAGGATGGATAACTACTATTCTCATTTATAACCCTACCATAACATTATTAAATCTTGTAATCTATATCCTAATAACAACTACCATATTTATACTATTTATAATTAATTCATTTACTACAACATTATCTTTATCAAATATATGAAAAATAAAATACCATTAATTACATGGATGGACCTGAAGAGTATTATGCTAAGCAAAATAAGCCAATCAGAGGAAGACAAATATCACATGTGGAATATAATGAACAAAACAAACTGATGAACAGAATGGACCCAGAGACATGAATGTGGGGTAGAGACTAACAAAACTCAGAAGGTGGGGAGGGAAGAGATACAACACAGAACTTATATGCATGTATGTGTAACCAATGGACATAGACAACTATGTTGCAGGTGGGGGAACTGTGAGGAGGGTGTCAATGGGGGGAAAAGGAGAAACATCTGTAACAAAAATAAATTAAAGTATAAAATAAAAATGAAAAAAAAATTTTTTTCAGAAGAAAACTATTTTTTGTCCAGCAGGTGTGGCTCAGTGGATGAGCATCAGACTATGCACCAAGAGGTTGCCTATTTGATTACCAGTCAGGGCACATACCCAGGTTGTGGGCTAACCCCAGTGGGGGGCATGCAGGAGGTGGCCAATGGATGAACATCTCTCATTAATATCTGTATCTCTCTCTAAAATCAATAAAGAAATTTTATAAAAATATAAAACATATTTTTTAAAAACCGTCTTTTGAGTTTGTTATGAAACGTAAATGTAGAGGCCCATAGTGCCTGGCACATAATACATATTCTGTACTTGATAACTCTTACTATTTTTTATACCAGGACTGACTTGTATCTTGAATTTAAACTCTTGAAACCTACAAAAATTCAGCTAAAGAATGTCATGCGACCTTATTTTTCCTGAACCATAAATCACATAATACTTTAAAATTATCTTTTAAATCTTCTCAAAAAATGTAACATCATTTTATTTTAACTACCTATGCTTTATTCTCATTTTTATGTCTCAAGGAATCAATACAGTCTAAGACCTATGTATTTTCTCTTTTTAAGAAGAACACATAAAAATACCCATAGTCTATCATCACATTAGCATTAAGCATCTGTATGCAATAGAGATGTACTTAAATCTTAGCTTGTTCTCCCTTTTCCTTGACATATTTTGATAGGCCTACTAAGGTCACAGGCAAAATTAGAGTTGTCCAATTAACACGTAATATTTGCGTCATGGAAAGAACTGGAAGTACACCTCAATAAATCAAATGTCATCAAGAATCCACTAAAGGGAAAACAGATCCAGTGATGGAAGAAAATATTTATGTTAATTCAGCAAAAGTTATGGTTGATGGAAAGATGAAATATATTCATTGATTCAATGCGCCAATTTGAATTCTCCAGTCTTAATGGAGGAAAGTGAGCTCTGACAATGTTTTCCTAAACTTTTCTTTCTTACATGGTTTGTTGCTACTCTTTTTCTGACTATATACTTACCAGGAGCAATATTCAGAAGTTAAAATTACAAGCATTTTATTTTATTTTAATTTTGTTACAAATATTTCTCCTTTTTTACCCCATTGACACCCTCCTCCCCATCCCCCCTGCCCCATCACCAGCTTTGTTGACCATGTCCATTGGGTATGCATACATGCATATAAGTTCTGTGGTTTATCTCTTCCCTCCCCCCATACCCCCCATTTCTGGGGCTTGTCAGTCTGTACCCTACTTCCATGTTTCTGGGTCTACCCTATTCCTCAGACTGTTATGTTCATTATATTCCATAAATAAGTGAGATCATGTGGTATTTGTCTTTTTCTGCTTGGCTTGTTTCACTTAGGATAATACTTTCCAGGTCCCTCCATGTCCTCTCAAAGGATAAGAGATCTTTCTTTCTTAAAGCTGCATAATACTTTGTTGTGTATATGCACCACAGTTTTTTTATTCATTCGTCTACTGATGGACATTTGGGCTGTTTCCAGATCTTAGCTATTGTAAATAGTGCTGCTACAAACATGGGGGTACATATATTCTTTCTGATTGGTGTTTCAGGCTTCTTAGGTATATTCCTAGAAGTGAAATCACTGGGTCAAATGGCAGTTCAATTTTTAATTTTTTGAGGTAACACCATATTGTTTTCCATAGTGGCTGCACCAGTCTGCATTCCCACCAGCAGTGTACTAGAGTCCTCTTTTCTCCACACCCTCACCAACACTTGTTGTTTGATGATTTGTTGATGGCTGCCATTCTGACAGGTGTGAAGTGATACCTCATTGTTGTTTTAATTTGCATCTCTCTGATGATTAGTGATATTGAGCATTTCTTTTTTTTTTTTTCTTTCTCACTGTTCAAGGTTTATTTGTCATTTCCATTGGTATGACACTTGGATAGTTAGCTACATTATTTATATGTAGACTTTTCTTTTTACAGTATATGGCAATATACACTAATCTGATACATATAGTACACAGAATAAAGTCCTTTAGAACAGTTATGCACAAGACATGCAATACTGGATTTATACATTGGATCCCAGGATGAAATTGATTGGAGAAAAAAAAGCTGGACTAAGCATGTTGGATAAAGGAACCAGAAGTTATATAACACAGTGAACACACATCTAGTTTGAAGGGCAACTGTAGTGTGTGCTACACTGGCAGTGGTGCATTTGAGGAGGTAGAACTATTTCATACTAACCTGTTTAGGACTGCACAAGGTGAGAACCATCCAGCATCAGGATATAGCTTCAGTGTTTTATGAACCATTACTATTTCTATCTTTAGGAAACTGATGTTTTTAGTCACAAATCAGATAAAAGGGACAATATGCACAATCTCCAACTAAAATCCTGTGCTAGCCTAGACAGTGAGGTGGAATGACACGAGAAGACTTTATAATTACAGTTCTTTCTGGATCCCCCAAAGTGTATCTGCACTCTTCTTCAAACAGGCCTCTTCCTCAGCTGTCAAAGCCACTTTCATGACATCCAAGATTCTACTCTGCCTCAAGATACAAGGAACGTTAAAGAAGACATCTTCTTTTATTCCATAGAGACCCTTAATCATGGTGGAAATTGGATGCACCCACCTAAGATTCTTCATCATACTTTCTGCTAAATCTGCCACAGACAGTCCAATGACCCAGGACGTGTAGCCTTTCAGTTTGATCACCTCATAAGCACTGTCAACCACCTGTTTGTGAACTTGTTTCCATTGTTTCTTATCTGCATCAGTGCCTAATTCACGGTGCAGGGTCTTTAGGGTGAAACCAGCAACATTCACTCCACTCCATACAGGCACACTAGAGTCTCCATGCTCCCCAAGGACCCACCCATAACAGCTTAATGGGTGAACTCCCAGCCTCTCCCCCATTAGGTAACAGAACCAGGCTAAATCCAGATTGCAACCACTTCCAATAACACGGTTTTTGGGAAAGCCGCTTATCTTCCAAGACATGTAGGTCCAGATATCCACTGTATTGGAAACAATGAACAATTTGCAGTTGGGACTATATTTGACAACATTAGGAATGATGAATTTAAAGATGTTCATGTTACGCTGGATCAAATTAAGACGGCTTTCTCCCTTTTATTGATGTGCCCCAGTTGTGATAATCACCAGTTTGGAGTTTGCAGTCACACTACAGTCTTTGCTAGAGACAATTTTTGGTGTTTTAAGGAAAAGGCTGCCATATTGGAGATCCATCATCTCTCCCTTTAATCTGTCTTCCATGACATCAATGAGAGCAAGTTCATCTGCCAAGTCCTTCATTAAGATACTGATGACACAAGCCATGCCAACAGCATCAACCCCAACAAATGTGATCTTATTCTGGGGGTTTTGGTCTTCCTTAAGAATATTCACAATCAGCTGATCCTTGAGTGTTGCCATACTGGACCTAGGAATCGAGATTGCACGGTAAGCGGGCGTTGGTGGCACGCAACGTTGGATCCAGACTTGGCAGCAGCTGCTCTGATTGACCATTTCTTCATATGTCTCTTGGCCATTTGTATGTCCTGTTTGGAGAGGTGTCTATTCACCTCCTCTGCCCATTTTTAAATTTGGTTCTTTGTCTTCCTTTTGTTGAGTTGTATGAGTACTCTATATATTTTGGAAGTTAACCCTTATCTGATGTATCATTGGCAATGATGTTCTCCCATACAGTGGGTTGCCTTTTCATTTTGATGGTTGTTTCTGTTGATGTGCAGAAGCTTTTTAGTTTGATGTTGTCCCATGTATTCATTTATTTCTTTGTTTCTGTTGCCTTAGGTGATGTATCAGTGAAAATTCTGCTGCATATGATGTCCAAAATTTTGTTGCCTACATTTTCTTCTAAAATTTTTATAGATTCATGGGTCATATTTAACTCTTTTATCCATTTTGAGTTAATTTTTGTGTATGGTGTAATTACAAGCATTTTATAAACATGTAATATAATCATCAGTGAGGTTTGAAGAGAGATTTTATAGGTGTCTTAGGTAAATGGAAAATTATGGTTTACCACAAAACAATCAGACAATGCATCAAGAGTAAAGTGACCCCCCCCCCCCACACACACACACATACATTCAAGAAGCTAGATTAGTGGAAAAAATAACATTTAGGGAAAGTAACATATATTTTAGATGAGAAAGGGAAAATTTCCATTATATGCGACATTGTGTCATGCTTACTAGTTATATAAGAATAGGAGATTCCTATTCCTAATTTTTGAGGATAAGTTCTATATCTACAATTTAGCTTTTATAAATTTGTATATTCTAGTACTTGAAATACAATTTTTCTTTTTTTAAACTTTACTTCATTTTTATTTTTGTTACAGATGTTTCCACTTTTTTACCCCATTGACACCCTCCTCCCCATCCCCCCTGCCCTGTCCCTGGCTTTGTTGTCCATGTCCATTGGTTATGTGTACATGCATATACATTCTGTGGTTTATCTCTCCCCTTACACACCCTCTTTTGAGGGTTGTCAGTCTGTACCCTATTCCTCAGACTGTTATGTTCATTATATTCCACAAATTAGTGAGATCATGTGATATTTGTTTTTTTTTTCTGCTTGGCTTGTTTCACTTAGGATAATACTCTCCAGGTCCCTCCATGTCATCTCAAAGGATAAGAGATCTTTCTTTCTTACAGCTGCATAGTTCTCCATTGTGTATATGTACCACTGCTTTTTTTTTATTATTATTGATTAATTTTTGTTACAGATGATTCTCCTATTTTCCCCCGCTGATTCCCCCCTCCCCGACCCCTCCCTGCTCCTTCCCCAGATTGTTGTCCATGTCCACTGTTCATGCATACATGAGTATAAGTTCTGTGGTTCATCCCTCCCCCACATCCCCACTTCTTCGGGGATTATCAGTCGGTACCCCGCTTCCGCGTCTCTGGGACTACCCCATTCCTCAAACTGTTATGTTCATTATATTCCACAAATAAGTGAGATCATATGAAATTTGTCTTTCTCTGTTTGGCTTGTTTCACTTAGGATGATACTTTCCAGGTCCCTCCATGTAGTCTCAAAGCATAAGAGATCTTTCTTTCTTACCGCTGCGTAGTACTCCATTGTGTATATGTACCAGAGCTTTTTGATCCATTCGTCTACTGATGGGCACTTGGGCTGTTTCCAGATCTTAGTTATTGTAAATAGTGCTGCTACAAAGATGGGGGTACATATATTCTTTCTGATTGGTGTTTTATGCTTCTTAGGGTATATTCCTAGAAGTGGGATCACTGGGTCAAATGGAAGATCAATTTTTAATTTTCTGAGGTGACACCATATTGTTTTCCATAGTGGCTGCACCAGTCTGCATTCCCACCAGCAGTGTACTAGAATCCCCTTTTCTCCACACCCTCGCCAACACTTGTTGTTTGATGATTTGTTGATGGCGGCCATTCTGACAGGTGTGAGGTGATACCTCATTGTTGTTTTGATTTGCATCTCTCTGATGATTAGTGATGATGAACATTTCTTCATATGTTTCTTAGCCATTTGTATGTCCTGTTTGGAGAGATGTCTATTTAGTTCCTCTGCCCATTTTTTAATTGAATTCTTTGTCTTCCTTTCGTGGAGTTGTATGAGCACGCTATATGTATTGGAAATTAACCCCTTATCTGATATATCATTGGCAATTATGCTCTCCCATATAGTGGGTAGCGTTTCCGTTTTGATGATTGTATCTTTCGCTGTGCAGAAGCTTTTGAGTTTGATGTAGTCCCATGTGTTCATTTTCTCCTTTGTTTCTATTGCCTTAGGTGATGTGTCAGTAAAAATTCTGCTGCGTATGATGTCTGAGATTTTGTTGCCCACAGTCTCCTCTAGGATTTTTATGGATTCATGAGTTACATTTATGTCTTTTATCCATTTTGAGTTTATTTTGGTGTAGGGTGTAAGTTGATGGTCTAGTTTCATTTTTCTGCAAGTAGCTGTCCAATTTTCCCAGCACCATTTATTAAAGAGGCTGTCCTTACTCCACTGTATACTCTTGCCACCTTTGTCAAATATTAATTGAGCATATTGCCTTGGGTCCATTTCTAGGTTCTCTGTTCTGTTCCACTGGTCTATATGCCTGTTCTTGTGCCAGTACCAGGCTATTTTTATTACAGTGGCTTTGTAGTATAACCTGAAATCTGGTATTGTGATCCCTGCAACTTTGTTCTTCCTTTTCAAGATTGCTGTGGCTATTCGAGGCCTTTTTTGGTTCCATATGAACTTTTGAAGTAATTGTTCTAATTCTGTGAAGTATGCCGTTGGTATTTTGATGGGGATTGCGTTGAATCTATAGATTGCTTTGGGTAATATGGACATTTTAATGATGTTGATTCTCCCAATCCATTAACAGGGTATGTGCTTCCACGTTTTTATATCTTCCTCTTTTTTTTTTTTTTTTTTCAATGACCTGTAGGTTTCTGCGAATAGGTCCTTTATTTCTTTGTAAATTTAGTCCTAGGTATCTTAATTTTTTTCCGCAATGGTAGATGAGGTTGTTTTCTTAGTTTCTCTTTCTGTGAGTTCATCATTGGTGTACAAGAATGCCATCGATTTCTTGACGTTAATTTTGCATCCTGCTACCTTGCCAAATTCATTTATTAAGTCTAGTAAACTTTTGGGCCCTGGCTGGTTTGGCTCAGCGGTTAGAGCGTCGACCTGTGGTCCTGAGAGACCCAGGTTTGGTTCCCGCTAAGGGCACGTACTTCGGTTGCAGTTTGTCCCCGGCACCGGTTGGTCGTGCGGGTGGCAGCCACTCGATGTGTCCCTTTCACGTCGATGTTTCTCTCTCTCTCTCTCTCCCTCTCACTCTATCTGTACAAAAATTGGAAAAATGTCCTCCGGTGAGGATGAAAAAAAAAACTTTTGATGGAGTCTTTGGGGTTTTCTATGTACAGTATCATGTCATCTGCAAATAATGACAATTTCACTTCCTCCTTTCTAATTTGGATCCCTTTTATTTTTTCTTCCTGTCTGATTGCTGGGGCTAAGACTTCCAGTACTATGTTAAATAGGAGTGGCGAAAGTGGGCATCCTTGCCTTGTTCCTGTTCTTAAGGGAAATACTTTTAGTTTTTGCCCATTGAATATAAGGTTGGCTGTAGGTCTTTAATATATGGTCTTTATTATGTTGAGATATGATCTCTCTATTACCACATTGCTACGTGTTTTTATCAGAAATGGGTGCTAAATTCTCTCAAATGCTTTTTTGGCATTTATTCATATGATCATATGATTTTTAGCTTTCATTTTTTATGTGGTATATCACATTTATTGATTTGCAAATATTGTACCAGCCTTGCATTCCTGAGATGAATCCCACTTAGTCATGTTGAATAATTTATTTGATGTATTGCTGGGTTTGATTTGCTAGTATATTGTTCAGGGTTTTGGCATCTATGTTCATCAGGGATATTGGTCTGTAGTATTCTTTTTGGTAGTGTTTTTTTTTGGTTTTGGAATTAGAATTCTGCTGGCCTCATAAAACAAGTTTGGAAGTCCTCCTTTTTCTTGAGTTTTTTGAAATAGTTTGAAAAGAATGGGTGTTAGTTCTTCTTTTAATGTTTGGTAAAACTCCCCCATGAAGCCATCCGGGCCTGGGCTTTTGTTTGCTGGGAGAGTCTTGATTACATCTTCAATTTCTTCTGTTGTTATTGGTCTGTTCAAGTTTTTTTTATCTCTTTCTGGTCCAGTTTGGGGAGACTATGTCTTTCTAGAAATTTGTCCATTTCACTTAGATTGTTGAATTTGTTGCCATATAATTGTTCATAGTAGTTGTTAACGATCTTTTGTATTTATGTGGTGTCAGTTGTTACTTCTCCTCTTTCTTTTCTGATTTTGTGTATTTGGGTTCTCTCTCTTTGTTTCTTGGTGAGTCCAGCTAAGGGTCCATCCATCTTGTTTATCTTTTTGAAAAACCAGCTCTTTGTTTCATTGATTCTTGATTTGTTTTTTGGTCTCCCTATTTTTTATTTCTGCTCTGATATTTACTATTTTCTTTCTTCTACTTTCTCTGGGGATTTCTGTTTTTTGGGGCTTTTTTTTCTTGGGGTTGCTTTCTAGTTTTTTAAGTTGTGAGGTTAGATAGTCTATCAGAAATGTTTCTTGTTTTTTAAGGTAGGCCTGTAATGCTATGAACTTCCCTCTAAGAACTGCTTTCACTGCATCCCATAGATTTTGTGTTGTTGTGTGTTCATTTTTATTGATTTCCAGGAAGTTTTAAATTTCTTCCTGGATCTCCATGGTAACCCATCTATTGTTCAATAACATGCTTTTTAGCCTCCATGTTTTCAAATGTCTTTGCATGTTCTTGTTGCAGTTGATTTCTAGTTTTATCCCATTGTGATCTGAGAAGATGCTTGATATGATTTCAATCTTCTTGTACTTGTAGAGACTTAGTTTGTG